AGTTCATTCAAATCCACAGCTGTTAACCCCTGATACTCACTGAGAACAGCTACTTGTGGATTCTCGCCTTTTGGTAGCAGGTTTACAGTTTAACCAGGTGAAATTTCTATTATTTTGTACTTTCAACATATAAAAATGGCAATTTCTCATGGGTCAACCTGACTTGTCCAGTTCACTGTCAGCCCAGCTGTGTATGCTTAAACAGCAAAGTGGACAGTGCTGTAGGGTTGTTAAGTAAAGGTCACAGTTAAGCCTTTCAAGCTGTCTTCCGGGGAGGACTCCCCCAAATGACCCAGAGTAGGGAGAAAAGTATAGGATCTTCTAAAGAGGCTCTAGTGGATGTCAATGAAAACAGAATTCCCTTCTTGCCTTTGGACTCTATTCATATCATAATTGTTCAATCAATCTTGTAGAAAAGCCACGTTCCACCTGGGAAGGCTAGAAAGGCTATGCTGGAATAGAGCCAGCACCATAGGAAAGCGCTTACAGGAGAGGGGTGAGTAAGCAGTGCCCAGGCCTCTGAGATGAATAGAACAGGTCACTGTCAAAGCAGTGACATGATGGTTTGTGTGCATGCTTCTCACCTTAACTCGCCATTAAAAATGTGAAGTATACCTTCTTACCCACATCTACTCAGGATTTTAACAGACTAAGGAAAAAACAAAATAAGAAAGTGAACTATTTCAATTTCCTAAAATAGGGCTGGGGAGAGTGGCTCAAGTGACAGAGCACCTGCCTAGCAAGCGCAAGGCCCCGAATTCGAACCCCATTATTACAATAAATAAATTTCCTAAAATATTTCACACATATCAAGAGTTTATTCCCTTAATCACCCTAAGAAACTAATCTTGACTCTGTGTGTTCCACACAGTTTCTGAAAGTGTCAGTGATGAAACCCCACCACCACCACACATACAAGTGCTTTAGAGCTCTGACAAGCAAGCTTGCCATACACCCACACGCAACTTGTAAAGGGTTATGACTACGAGCCAGAATGTTCGGGACTCTGAAAGATAACATCCCAAGAGCCAATGCAGCAAACCTGGGTCTAGGCTGTCATCAGATGGCTGGCCCCAAAGGCAACTCTACCTTTCATGGGCTGTGTCACCTGGGCAAACTCACTCCAAAAATATGCAGGGGGCACCTATGGGTGTCAGGCACCAACCAAGGTGCTGGGGACAAGGTAGTCTCTTCTGCATGGTGGGCAGACATACTCCGAGCCTCTGTCCTCATTTGGGAAGACTGAGAGTGTTCAGCAAATGAGAATGCTGGAAAGAACCAGCAGAGGTAGCCACACTGTCAGCTCACTAATGTAAGCTACTTCCACTCACATCGTCTTCCTCCTCACACAGCTAAAGTAAACTAAGCATCATTAACAAAATCAACTGAAGCCAGTAAGTAAGGATCCAGATCTGGCCTCGGCCTTATGCAAAAATTATACTAAGAAACTGAGAAGATGGAAGACCATGAAGACTTTTGTAAAAAGACAAAAATATTTCTCATGTAATGTTAAGTAAAAATACCTATTTATGTATGTACATATTTATTTATTTATTTTTCTTTGTGGTACTGGGATTTGAGCTCAGGGCCTCATGCTTGCTAGGCAGGCGTTCTACTACTTGAGCCACTACTACTTGAGTGACTCCACCAGCTCTTTTTTGTGAAGGGTTTTTCGAGATAGGTTCTCATGAAGTATTTGCCTGGCTGGCTCTGAACCTCTCTGACTCCTGAGTAGCTGGGATTACAGGGGTGAGCCACTGGCACCCGGAGAAAATTCCTTATTACAAGATTTCTTTGTTAACAATACCAGAAGCAAACACAGCATGTAGTGCTATGTATCAGGCACTGTTTTACTGTTTTTTCTCCTCACCATGCTGGAGATGACATCCAGGGCCTTCTGTGTGGAAGCAAGCACTCTGCTGCTGAGCCATACCTCTAGCCTTGGGTGTTGTTTCAAGCTCTTCACATATACAAATAAGCTAACACCCCCTAAGGTCTGTGATATTACTGTACTTCTAGAGATAATGAAACTGGGGCAGAGAGGCTAAGCAATCTGCCCAAGGCCACACAGCCCATAAACGGCAGAACCAGGGTCAAGAAGCACCAGCTGGCTCTGACACCTACACTCCCGCTGTCCTCAGGGGCAGTGTTCTGTGACGTAGCTGGATGGGCGACAGGAGGGTGACAGGGTAGTGGGGGAGGTACTCCCCTCTATGTGCCATGCAGCTGCTCATATCTTGGGCAGAACAAGCACCATGCTTATCATGAACACATACCCAAGAAAAGCAAGGGCATCTGTGCACACACATGTGCACACAAGTGTTCACAGCAATATGACTCTTACTGCCAAAAAGTAGATCTCCAAACGCCCATCAATGATGGGTAGACAACAAGGTGTGGCACAGCCACACTGGAATGCTACCCAGCATCGAAAAGGACGGACAGATTGACAGATCCTACAACACAGATGCCAGGAAAAGAGGGTCACATCTTGAACTTAGGGAAAATACACAGCCCAGAAAATCCAGAGGCTGAGCGGAGGGAGACCAAGGGGTGGCTGCGGACTGGGGCAAGGGCTTCTTTATGGGGTGATGAAGATGTTCTGGAACAAAATGGTGGCTTGAACAGCTATGTGAATACAGTATTCCAAAAACCAGTGAACTGTACTTTCAAAAGAGTGACTTTTATGGCCTGTGAATTGTATGTCCAAAAAAAGGGGGGGAGAAATATAAAGTATATGTAAGAGTAAATGTTCCTCAAAAATCTCCAGAAGAAAAATAATGGCTTATGTCCCTTTATGGCAAGCACAACCGAGATGCCCTGGCGTGGGTCTAAATTGCTTTTCTGTGCAGTTTTTTGTTTTTTTTCTTAATCCCAGTACATAAACACCCGAGAATCCTAAAAAACAAAACTTTGTAAGAATTATTTGATTCATAACATATTAAACTTGATAACTATTATAACAAAATTAAACTTTTTTAGGAAAGGAAAAAAGTGATCATTTTATTCCTTTGAGTTTTTCTTCAAGGTTAGCATGTGATGCTGCTTCACTTCCTACTTCCTTCGTAACCTCCTGAAGTTACAAATGCAGCTATGGCATCATGGGCTGGAACCCTGCCCTTGCAGCACGCTAGCCATGTGACCCAGAGCCAGCAACTGAACTGCCTGGGCCTCTGCTTCCTTTCTTAATGGAAAGAGCAGAACCCATACTCACCTGATAAGGTTCTGAAGGATTAAACACAAACTCACATTTGCAAAGCAACTGGAGTAATGCCTGGAACATTGTTATAAATGCTTTATGAGCAAATGTTCCACTAACAGCCTAATAGGACCAGGACCCACAAACACAGGACTGTATACAGCTGGTACTTCACAAAGAAAGGCCCGAGAGAGTAAATGCAGGACTCTTGATGGCAGTCATTTTTCTTTTTGTTTTGCTGTTGTTTCTTCTCTATTTTTGAGACAGGGTCTCACTACGTAGCTCAAGTTGGCTCAAATTCATGCTCGCCCTACCTCAGCCTCCCAAGTTCTGGGACCACAGGCATGTGCCACCACACCTGGCTTGCAGTCTGTTCTTAAAATACATGAAATGTACATAAATCCACTCAAAAATACATGCGAGACAACCCCATTAAACCTATCGATACAGACTATGTGTCACACTCATAAGAAAGCACTCTATGTAATTACCAAAAAAGTATGGTACTCATGGTGTGTACGTATACATGTCTGCTACACACAGCACCCAAAAGTGCAGCGAGACAAGACTAAATGTGCACAGCTGAGAATGATTTTCAACCTGGGGTGAAAAACCAACAGCACAGCCTACTTGTCGAGTTCCCGTGTGTCCTGGCAGGGAGTACTTCCTCTACTGCACATCTCACTGGGTTTCCATCTGCAAACCACTTCTAATTCTGAAACTAATTGAGAAGCTCTGTCCTCACCACTGATCCCAAGTACAAGCAGTCCTCAGGGTATTTTTCTGAGATGGGACATGGCATATGAACAGAAAGCAGTAGGAATTTCCTTTTTAAATAGGGCTTCGGAAACAATACCATACCCATTTTCCTCAATTTACTCCAGGAAAATTACTGTATGACAGCTGTATGAGTTCATCCTAATGTTCTTATTTGTCCCTAGGCAAACAGAACACTCTTTAATAAAAGAAGTCTTGATCTGGGGAAAAAGGAAACACGTGAAAATTGCTTTTTAAAAATTAACTTTGCGGGCTTGTGGAGTAGTTCAAGTGGTAGAGCGCCTGCCTAGCAAGAGTGAGGCTCAGAGTTCGAAACCCCAGTACCACACACACAAAGAACAATAGTAATGTTGTGCTGTCTCTTCTGACTTTGAGGCCAAGAAAGGGTGGAGTGGCACATCCCTCCACAAATTCAGGAGGTGACCATGACTACAGTGCCAGTAATCGTCAGCAACACAGAAAATTACATGACAAAAATCTGCAAAGCTTTCCACAAGATTTGTCTCTATAAAACTATAGGTTACAATCTTACAAAGTAACTCAAGTTAAAAACTTCTTAAAAGTAAATCTATACAAAAGTATTTCTTCATAAAAACTGCTCAACTTTTTCAGAGGTATTTGTAGGCAATGGAAATCTAGATGCAAGGAAGCTGAGGATCCCGGGCACCTGCTGTGGCACATGGGGACAGGTAAGGTAGAGCACTAAGGTCCTCCGATTCAGTTGTACCAAGTCTGCCCTGAACACAACCCTCAGGTAAACTGCACGCTAAACTGGTCTAGATGTCTGTGTAGCTGCATCAAGGCAGGTGTGTGATGATATAATTAAGTTAAATATTTTCAACTGCCAGAACAGGTTTTTGTCAGTTGTCCTGACTATTAAAAGAGAACGTGTTCCCCAGGAGCCACAAGCGACCCTTGGCTGTTCACTTTCCACAAGGCCCAGAGTAATCCCAACAGGTGTGTAAGATCTCCCTTCCAGCCCACACTCACCAAGAATGAGTAAAACAGGCTGTACCCACCGTACCTGCAAAATGCAGAGGTGCATCTTTATCCATGGCGATGAGGGGAGGGTCGAGCAGCACTGTATTGTCATTCTCAGTAACTATTCCATGATAGGTGGGCTCGAGCCAGGGCTTGTGCTTGTTAACTGCATTGAGGAAAAAAGAAACAGAGGTTAGAATTACTGTTTTAAACTCCATTGTCTTTGAAGATCTACACCTAGTTTGGGGGTTTGGTTTGGCCTTGCTGGGATGGAACCCAGGACCTCACACATGCTAGGCACTGCACCCCGATCTACACCCCAGCCCACATCTATTAGTAAAATAATGAAGCTCTCACAGGCTGGAAGGCAATGTTCAACTTTTGTTGCAAAGTTTGGTGTCAAAACCCAAATGGGATGAAATTTTAAATTCTACAGTAAGTGCTGTAGAAATTATCTGTGTCCATGAAGCAATTGGAAATAAGATTAAGTGGCTCTAGAAATGAAGAGAAAGAGGACAAGTGACTACAGGTAAGTTCAAATGACCTGTTTTTAGCCTATCACAGGAAGTTTACCAAGCCAGGTATAGTGGCTCAAACCTGTACTCCTAACCACTCTGGGGGTAGAGACTGGGAGGATTGTGGTTTGAAGTCAGCAGGGCAAAGTTAGTGAGACCCCCATCTCAACCAATAAGCTAGATATGGTGGTACATGTCTATTATCCTAGCTACTCAAGAAGCATAAATAGGATGACCCAGCCTGGCCTGGGCATAAAGCAAGACACTATTCAAAAAATAACCAAGGGCAAAAAGGGTTGGGGACATCGATCAAGCAGTAAAGCACCTGCCTAGCCAGTGTGAGGTCCAGAGTTCAATGCCCAATACCACCCAAAAAAAAAAAAAAAAAAAAAAAAAAAGTTTTACTTCTTTGTTACTATCCTCATTTAAAAACTTGATTTATTTAAAATTAGTATTACAGGGATGGCATGTGACTCAGTGACACAATGCTTGCCTAGCTTTCATAAGGCCTGGGTTCGATCCCCAGCACTACAAAAAAATTAACGTTACAAAAAATGCAAAACAAAGATGGAAAATAAACAATGCTTATTAATATTAAATTAGGAATATAAAGTATTAAAATGAAACTAAATGCAAAACTTCTAAAAAAAAACCAAAAAACAAAAAACCTCACTGAAAACATGAGTGTTTAATAACAACATACTTTTACCAGGCACCAGTGACTCACTTCTGTAATCCTAGCTACTTGAGAGGCTTAGATCCAGAGGATCGCAATTCCAGGCCAATCCCAGCAAAAAAGTTTGTGAGACCCCATCTCAATGGGGGGAAAAGCTGGGCATGCCTAAAATAGTAGGATTGCAGTCCAGGCTCACCTGGGCAAAAAAAGCAAGACTCCCCCCCATCTCTAAAATAACCAGAGCAACAAGAGCTGGAGGTGAGGCTCCAGTGGTAGAGTGCCTGCCCAACAAATGTGAAGCCCTGACTTCAAAGCCCAGTTTGCCTCCCAACCCTCTCCCCAACCCCAAAAAAATCAGTGGAACTCAGGTCAGATTTTAGCTCCTCTCCTCATAAGCCACATGACCTTGTGCACAGCAATTGACCACTCCCCCCAGTCTCAGCTTCCTCCCTTATAAGCCAAAGCCTCCTCCTTCTAGGGCTAGCATGGATCACTGGAGAAACAGAATCTTCCCTTTCGACCAGCCCCTTGTCTACTTAGGCAAGAACCTCTTCTGGCCTCTGCTTATCTCACTTAGCAGACGAAATAAAAGTTTAGTTCTATGCACTCTGTTTCACCTGGCTTTGGCTCCCACAGACATTCTCCAGGTTCTGGCAAGAGCCCCCCCACCACCACCCACCCACCCAGCTGGCTGTGCCCAGCTCTCTGTGATCACCTGCCTACTGAGGGCTACATCTCCCAACTCACATTCCTTTTCCTTTCACTGTACATTCTAACCCCAGGAAGCGCCCCAATTAAGCTGATCTGAAAAGATGAGAAGGAATGCACACTTTATTTCTACTGGCTGGGTGAACTGCTCAGGTTCTCTTCTGAAGGAGCGATCCAGAGTTAACTTCAGGGCTGGACTGTAGTTCATGGTAGAACACTTGCCTAACAGGTTGCAAGGCCCTGGGTTCAAACTCCACACTACAAAACACCCCTAATCACCACACACACACACAAAAAAAAAAACCCAGAAGTATCTTTACACAGTGTCACCACGTGATATTACAGTCAAACGCCACAGCAATAGTGTTTGAGAAGGCCAAAGATGTGACTGAGGTAGTTAGATTATATCACCCATAATGCAGTAATTGTGTAAGTGACTCTGTGATGTTCACACTGTTACAGAATCACCTGAGGGCGCACTGAGAACCCGTGTGACTGTGACTGTGTTTCTTGGCTGTTAGGTGACGAAAGGAAAGCCTGGGAGGGGGAACCTCTGATGGAGCAAGCACATGGATGCCTATTTGGAAGGAAAAGAAAACCAGAAAAAAGCTACCTTCTTGCTGATCAGTGACAGGCTTGAGAGATCAGGTAAGTATGCACACCACACCCAAACCTTCATAGTAAATCCAGACCTTGGGGAGTTAAGTTTTTAATGGGCAGAGTTTTGTTTTTGCGAGATAAAAAAAGAGTTCTGGGGCTGGAGAAGGCGCTTACCACTAGTGAATTGTACACTCAAAGACTGGGAACAACAGGAAATTTTATATGTGTATGTTGCTACAACTTAAGAAAGAATCCAGGACTGGGGAGTGGCTCAAGTATAGAGCACTTTCCTAGCAATTCTGAGGCCTTGAGATAAACCCTGATACCGCCCAAAACAAACAAACCAAAAAGAAAATAATAATAATAATAATAATAAGGCCCTGGGTTCAATCCCCAGCAATGCCAAAATAAATCTATGGACAAATAATCCCAGGCGAAGAAATTTCACACACCCAGTAACCAACCTCCTGCTCGCCTTCTCACTCCTCCACACAGCAGTGGCTGGTGGGAATCCTTTATGACAGTTTATGTTTTTTTAAAACACAAATGTTCTTAAACCTTGTGGTCTCAGAACCTGCTTATAACAAAAAATTATGGAGGTTCCCTATGGCATTTATTTATGTTAGTCTGTTTCAGGTAATGAAAACAAAAAAACTTAGTATTTATTCATTCATTAAAAAAAAAAAAAACCCACATACCTTAGCATAAATAATGTTTTTATGGAATACCCTTGCTTTTTAAAGCAGTTTACCAGGAAGAGTGGCAGTGTCTTACACTTCTGCTGCCTGGCTTCACAGAAGACAGCTAGGTTCTCAACTCCACCTCCTGGAGCAATGCAATGTGTTGTCACCCACTGTGGAGCCTCTGGAAAACTCCACTGTATACTCAAGAAAGGATGTGTTCCCATGCTAGCAGAAGAGTTCTCTCCTCTAGCTCCACGGTCTCGGGTCACTGCCTCACTTTGGATCTGGCCAAGGCCTCTCCCCAGTCCTCTTCCTTCTCTTCAGCAGCTCATGGGCACCCCCTCAGGCCCCATCTGTCTATCTGACAGGCAGAAAGAGGACAGGACCCTGGAATCAACTGCCTGGACTTTGACCTCTGCCTCAAGTTTCTTTATCTGTAAAAGGAAGACAATGACAGCACCCGCCTCACAGGCACAGTGCTCAGAACTGCCTGGCACTCAATAGGCCTCAGGGTGCGGCTTGGCTAAGTCCCAGTACCCAGCACTGTGCTGAGCACGGAGGTCCTCAGAACCTACTCAGCGAAGGGATGGACACATAAGGAGCCTGCCTGGGCTGCACGCCCTCTCCAAGAGAAGACAACTCTGGAACTGGGAACTGGTTGGCGTGGGTTTGAGCTACTGGATGTTGTTTGTTTCTGACGAGTGGATATCCTGAACAAGGAAGCTGGAAAAGTCAAAGAGGTCAATAATTGTGGTTCAATTACAAGGGAAGTCAACATGAAATCTAACCCAGATTGCAGAGAAAATTCCAGATACCTCTGCCACACATCCCCTCCCTCCCACAAGCTGCTCCAAGGAAGGAGGTCTGATAAAAAGAGCTCAGGTGGGTCTGGCACAGCTGTACCCATGACAGCACCAGGATGGGAGGGCACAGAAGCAGGGATGGCTGGTGGCATTGTTTGCAAAATCCCCGCATGCAGGATGGCCCAGTCTTCAGTCCAAGAGGGTTGGTTCCATGGAACTAAGGGGAACTCCATTCTGCACCCGGCTGCACATTTCACCTGCCTGTGGACCTCAGCATCCTCCCTAGGTACCCTTGAAGTAATCATGACACATGTAGGCTGAGACTCACCTGGAGTGATCAAACAGGCCATTTTAAAGGACATATGTATGCTGAACATTCCACTGTTTGTCATCAGTCTCATTTTAAAAAGGTAAACAAGAGAAACTTATTTCTCCCAGATTTTGGAAGCTAAAAGTTTTGGGTCAGAGGGTCACACCTGGTCAAACTCTGGTAAGGACTCTCTTCCTGGCTGGTAGCTAACTGCTTCTCACAGTGTCCTCACATGGTAGAGAGCCCAAGATCTCATTTCAAAACACAAACTATTACTCTGACTTGCTATTCACAGCAGCATTTTATTTCAATCTACTTTCAGACTTTGAGATTTTATTAACAAAATTCCAAGTACAACAGTAATAAAACTGAGATTACTCAATATGTGAGCCTGTAAAGCTCTTGGCTTAAACTAAATGAATCTATTGCCTTCATTTAACCCCAGAGGAGTGCAAAAAACCAGGCACAGAAAACCCAGAAAGGCCAGTGACAGAACACATGACCTGCCACCTTCAGGGGAAGGTTTACACTGAGAATGTTAACGCTTCAAGGGGAAATATAACCTCATAACTATGTTCACACATCTTTTACCCCCTCAGCATTCTCATTTTATAATTCAAAATTTCTAAACTGCTCCTTTAAGCTGGCAGTAGAATGAAGAGATGTGGCAGTTGCAGAGACTGAACTTTTCAATATTTAATGAATGATATTTTTAATATTTTATCACATTCAATTTGCATTATAAAACATTTATAGAAACAAGTGACTGATGTTTCTATAATCATTCCCCCAAAATCATCAAGACAAGAGACTTAGACTCTTAGAAAGGAGTCACCAGTGTTGCAAGTCTACATGAAACTCATTGCACATTTTGAATGAGATTGCACTAATTTAAAATAATGGAACAACAGCTGGGTGCTGGTGGCTCAATGTCTGTA